AAACTGTTTTATGTGTAAATTTTGTTTCACAAACATATTAAAAATGATCACATTGTGAAACAAATGCATATGAAACAAATACGTTGTGAAAGAAAATATGTTAATTGATATTGTAAATTCTAGTTTTAGATGGAAAAATCATATGCGATAACACATAGTGCACTAATTCTCAACATTATCACAATTTAATGGGTTCTCAAAAAAAAGGTCTTGTAACATGTGTGTGTATACATATATATAGGCAAATGATCGTGTGAGAAAGAGATTTAAAGTGAGAAGCGTAAGAAAAGAACTAGATTATTGATCACATTTAATCTCATACTCACCCATGAATCATGTTTGATACGAGGATTGATCTGGTGCATCTCATCATAATGTGTATCCAAAGACGGAAACCCCTTTTTACACTTCTCACATGAACCCAACCCTATATATAAGGGCTTAATCAAATGAGAAGCCTAGAATCTGTGAGATTCCTAAGAGGATAAGATTCAATATAAACCACTAATCTAAGATAAGTATGTTATTATTAAAAAAAATATAACATGAATATTAGTCAAGTCATAAATGCATTTAATTAATTAATTCTCCCCATAAATAAAAAAACCAATAACTTCCATAAATTAAAAAAAATTGATGACTCTTCAAATAAGACGTTAATTATTCACAAAGTGTTTTCAAGTTTTTACACAATGCTTTTATGGATTTAGTTTTTTTTTCTTTTTCTTTTTGGTTTTTGTTTTTGGTATTGTTGTGTCATATTGTGTTCACAAGGTGATTATAACGTGTAAAAAATAGATGATCACAACGTATAAAAAAAGCCCATAATGCTCAATCAAAATATTATATTTAATAGTAGTTCACATCGTGATATTATAGATCTTTGGTTTTGGGTTCACTAGAGATGCTTGACGGATATTCAACCTTAATTATTGATTTCGTACACAATATAAACGCAAGTCTTCAATGATATGTTGTTTTTTTGGTTTTGGTGTTTTAGTATTCATATTGTGTCAACAATGACCAATAGGGGTGCTCAAAAACCCCGATGAACCCGACCAACCCAACCCGAATTTAAAAAAAAAAACCAACCCGAGGTAACCCGATGCATGATCGATAAAAAAATTAGCCAACCCGACCTTATTGGGTTGGAATCGGGTCAAACCCAAAAAAACCCGACCAACCCGACAACCCGATGAACCCGACCTTAACTTTAGCTTTGAATTGTAGATGACRATCATGACATGACCAACCTCAACGTCAAGAAAGCGAAAGCATCGGGGTTGGAAACGTCTAAAACTATTGTTGTTGATTGATGTATTATCATTTGATTTAAACATTTTTATCGTAATATCTAAATATTTGATGAACTTGCATATTATCTTGAAATTTGAATGGTCGGTCGTATTTCAAAGGAAAGTTTCATTTATTTTTATGTGATTTTACATTGTTTAAACACAACCCGATCAACCCGAACAGGTTGGGTTGAGTTGGAAATTTTCAAACCGCCAACATTGGGTTGAGTTGTTAAAACGGCTCCAAATCGATCAACCCGGACCGTAACACCCCTAATGACCAATGGGTTACTTGATGATACTTATTAGGTTTGCCTAGTGTTCGCAATATGTTTAATTACTGTAACACCCCCATACTCCACATTTGCATAAAAYACATATTTCATTACATAGAAATATGAATTACATCAAAAGGCCCCACTAGTACAAGGATTACTATATATACAAAATTTACATATAAAATTTCCAAAACAAATCCTGTACTATTACATGTAATATAACATGTATCTTCAAAAGCAGATAACAGGTTAGGAAAATAATCACATTTTCCCTTTCCCTTTTATATCCCCGGACCCAGCTACTCCTGCATTGCATAATTTAAAACAGAAAATGAGGGTTAGACCAAACGGGTCTAGTGAGTAAATCCCTTCTTTGCAAGTGCAGGGTGATAAACACCAAAATGTGATAATGAAATTTTTGCTTAGAAATATACTGCAATACAAATAAATGATGCAGTTCACAACATCCCACAATAAGATGTATATCCAAGAACCTCAATAAAATGTCTCTGAATAGAGATCCAACATTTCCAGTATCAAAACTTTTGAATTAAAAGACCATTCCTTTAACAGGAAAGACTTAAGGCCAAAAACTTGTCGATATGACAAACCATTTTCCCCTTCTCAATAACATCTAAATTATTACTTCTAAATAGGAATAATATCTTTAATTCATCAGGTCACAAAGAAATGATGATTCAAAGTTATTAAATCCAATTTAATAATAATAATAAGAGTTATAATAATAATATCCACATATGACAATGCCACCTTTATTCCAAGTACACCTCTCCTTGATATGACACCCTTGTTCCTCCATCAAAACAAGGCTACTTATCAGAACAGACATAAGTCAAACACGTCTGAAAGTACCTATTCCCAGTTCCAAACCAGAACAGACAAAAGTCACCACGTCTGGGGAACTACTATTTAAAACAGTGTTTCATACCAAAACAGACTTACGTCACCACGCTTGGTAGAAACAATTTATAAAAATCCACTTCCATACCAAAACAGACTTATGTCACCACGCTTGGTAGGAGGGTTTCCAAAAAATATAGTTTCATACCAAAACAGACTTACGTCACCACGCTTGGTAGAAACATTTCCCAAAATCTCGTTCCAATACCAAAACAGACTTACATCACCACGCTTGGTAGGAACATATCTTTATTTAAAAGGATATAAAATACCCAATTTATAATCCACCAATAGTCCTAATAATAGACATTTTACACCATATAAAAAGTCTAAATATAAAACTTATGAAAATTCCAATTAAAAGTCATCCGGACAACAAGTCCGGTCAACAATCATCCGGTTTACAAGTCCGGTCAACAACCGTCCGGTTTACAACACTTGGACTAAAGTCCACTTTGTCTGGACATCTAATCCGGTCAACACACCAAATATTCTTTGAACGGTTTAACACTTAGAACAATATTCATATTGAGCGGATATCAAATCCGGACAACAATCCGTTTAAGACTCGCCCGGTTTAGGACTAAACCGCTCACCACATAGTCGGATTTTTACTTGGTATAAAATCATAAATAATACTCATTTATAAACCGCTCAACACTCAACCGGTTTACCAATCTCCGGACAACAAACCGCTCATGGCTTGTCCGGTTTGAACTAGTYCGATCACTAAACCGTTTAAAGCTTGTCCGGTTTAGAACAATCCGGACAATAAACCTTTCAAAGCTTGTCCGGTTTAAGACAATCCGGACACTAAACCGCCTAAGGCTTGTCCAGTTTAAATGCTTATCCGGTCACCTTTTGTCCGGATAAACACTTAGACATAAAAATCATGGTTTCTTTTCAAATAAGAACAATACAAAACATGCAATTATAACCAGTAAAATCTTTATACAAAAAGGTTAGAAACCACTCACCTTATCAAGCTTTTGAACCCAAAATGCTAGAAATCGATCATTTTTGAAACTTGATACTTGAAAACCAGCTTGAAATCACCTTCTTTTGCTAAACCGGACAACATTTTTAAAACCTCTCAAATCCTCTCAAAATAGCAGGGAAATAAAAATAAGAAGGCTAAGCCTCTCATTTATGCTACCCAAATAGGGTAAGGCGGCTAAAACCGCCTTCCCTCCTCCCTTCCACCTCAAGCTTAACCACATGCACCCACATTCACATACATACATACACTATGCATGCATACCTTTTCCATGCACATATTTTGCAAATATATATATATATATATATATATATATATTTATCCAATTAATTGCACAAATCCACATACCAGCATGTATCAAATTATCATGCTATCACATAATCATTTAAATCAGATAATCACGTACCATTTACCTTAGGTAATAACCAGGGTCTGGTTATCACAATTACTTGTTAGATTTAGTTCTATTTTTTTAAAATTATGTTGTTAATGAAAGAACAAATAAAAAAGGAGAGAATAGAGAGAAAATTTGTAAAATATCCTTAATAACCTTTACTTAAATTTTCAATTCAAAATTACTAATTTCTTAATTTACCCATTAATTTAATATAATATATAGAATATCACGGATCTCATGAATTACATCATTGTCAAAAAGTCCATTATATATAATATAAAATACTCAAAAAATCAAATGAGAAAAAAAATTAATAGAAAAATGAAAAAACTACTAAAAAGACTAAATACCCCTCTAATTTAACTCACTTAACATAACTTCTTGGAAGGAGTTAGAAATAGGGACCAATGTATCATAAATTGCAAACGATACTGATTTAATTTATAGATATTTTAAATAGAGACCTAGAGTATTAAAACAAGAATGAATCATGTAATTTGCTCTATTAATTATATTATTAAAATATTATTTTTCATAATATTAATTAATTGTTTAATACAATTTATAAATGGTATTTCTTTCTTCGAAACATTTAATTTCAAATATTCACATGGTGGGAATAATTAAAAAAACCATTTTCTCTTTCCTAAATAATCATTTTTTTAAACGATCATCAAATTTAGAGAATTTCACAATCTCTTTTTTTACTTTTTCTATTATGGAGAAAGTTTTTAAGAATCTATTGAATCAAAAATTCCCAAAATCTTTGATTTGGAGATGTTCTTAATTGAAAAAAAAATTACGTTATGATTTTATTCATGTCGGTCAATCACATGGATACACAATAACAAAAACGAGCTTAAAAGAAACCAAATATGTGTTCATAATTCGTACCGAAAACTGGAACAGCGATTAACCAAGAAACAGAAATCGAGTGCATTTTTTTGGATGAAGATTTCGGCATCATCGTTTCCTAGTTTTATAGAGTGCTCTCTTGCTTTTTAAGTTCTATGCTTGTAACTCATTATCCTCTAAACGTTTGTCGATACTTTCAGGTTTCCTATTGCATCATAAAGTAATCTTAAATAGAAACTCAATGTGTATTCACATGATTGATGAGGTCGAGGGTTTCGGATGGCAGACTTTTATTCTGACAATACCAATTACCAAACACCACATTACCAACTATATATAACTCTTATGATGTTGCACACATCCATATCATGAACCATAAACCTGAGCCAAAAGGCTACTAGATATTCTTCAATAAAACAACACCTTGATTAATTCATACACAAACAATTCAAACCTTCATAACACCAACACTCCCTCCATGCTCATAACTTCTCTAATTCTGCAAAAATATTAGGAGTTCAATTCAAAACGAAGCACCATAGGTATAATGAGTGAGATATCTTTGATCTCTTAATCGTTCTTCTTATTTCACACCTTCAAATAGATATCATTTTGTTTTAGGATGTGTTTGATATGCAGACTGTATCGAACATGAGTGGCGGAACTGATTGTAGAAGGTTCTAATTTTGACATGGATAGTTTATTAATTTATCTATCTTGTCTCATTTTCATGGTTTTTTAGTTCACCTATTTTCGTGGGAAGAAAAAACTGCATTTTTGTCCCACTTAGTCTTGTCATGTTATGTCTTGTCTATATACCAAAAAGGCACCCGTTACAGAGCTATCCCTAGGTCTCTATGTTTCTAAAATTCTACCCTGATGCATTTATGTAAGCCACATTTGAAAGGAAAAAGAACTGGTCATGTGGCACAAGGCAATTATGAATTGAAAGTGCACATACCTCATCATCATCATCATCGTCCTCACCGTCTTCTTTGTTCTTTTTAAGGCGGGTCGTACCACTTTCCTTCTCGAGTGGTAGCTTCATCGCTCCAAAGGGTGTATCCACGTCAATGTTCCCTTTCATGGAATAACCTGTGCCTTTTCCTCTGATCATGTCCCATAGAGCAGAACCGCAGTCCTTAGGCCTGAAGGTGATCGGAAGATCAAGGTATGTAATACCATTTTTGGCAATATTCTGAGTTTTAGCAAGTTCTGCACCTCCAATGCTCACGTCACACAGCCAAACCTCGTAGTCCAGTGCATTCAGCCCCATATCAAAGTCATTCTTGTTTTCCAACTTCAAATGAAGAGTTGCAACAGTTTCTTCAAACGAGAATTTCTCAAACTTTATTTTGTCGATATCAACATCAGGCTTGTAAGGTACCGGGATCTCCCCGGTTTTCTCAAGAGGAAAAGTTAGCCTTCCGAAAACAGGCACATCCACAATTAAATCAACTTTGACCTTGTAAGGTATGATGCTTCCAGGCTGAATATCTTCATATGTGTTTCTGATGTCATCATATATTAAGCAAAGTGGTATTTGGACAGTTTCTGAACCATGTGCATGGATGGTGCCAGCATCAGGAATCAATCCAGAAATTAGTTTTCTTCCATCGCTCTCGATTAAGTAGTTTATGTCAATAAGAGGGATAGGAACGGGGTTTGGGTTTGTTACAAGCACATCAACGATAATATCAGCCTGCTTAAGATTAATTTTTGGAACATGAATTGCAGAAACATCTGCAGTAGGCTTTCCAAATCCAATTGTTTCTTCAATCTTCTCACCGATATCTTGGATGAAACCCTTCACCTTCCCTAGAAATCCACTCTGCTCACCTTCTTCATGTTCTTTCTCCTTAGCACCTCGTTCCACTATCTCTGGCTTATCATATGATGACATACCTTGAAAATAGCAAAGTATATTGGTGTTACATCACTCATTTTGCACAAACATTTATCTACATAGTTAGTTTTACAGAACATTAAGAGAAGCCGAATGGAAAGGGGGATTTGAGCAAAACTGATTGAAGCTGTTGGAGTCTCACATCCATTGGGCACGGTCCTTTTAACCTTTATATATGTTTGAACCTCTATCCTCTATATAGTAAGGGCTTAGGGAGTAATTTGAAGGGGCTCCACATACCTCACAGAAGCCAATCAAAAGGAGAGTATGATCAAAAGAAGAAGAGGGGAAGAAGAATCACAAAGTTGAGAAGGGTGATCTAATGAGAGAATATAAGGTTTTTTGAGTTCAAGTTCTAGGAAAAAATCACATCCTAAATTGTATTTCATCAAATTGGTTTTCAAACAAAAGATTGTTTGCAAGTTCTGATCTTGCATTGTCATTCACAGAAAACCATTATTCAGCAACTTCCTCATCATTGATGCCATGTTTTTGCTTCAAGACTTAAGATCCTGAAAGTAACACCAAGTCATCCTAGTTTAAAACTACATATAAAACTTTGGAGGGTGGGAATTATATAGATTTAATATCTTCAAGCCATGACTCATCGAACACCTTAATTGGATTAACATGCTCACGCAATAAATTACGCAACATCCTACCTGGATTAATATCTTCAAGCTACAACACAACTTTCTATTGGTTGAGATATCAAGATCTACAACAGTTATACACCATGACACTAACAAGGCTAGGTAAGACCAAAATTCCAACGAGTATAATACAGCACTTAAAACCTGTAGATCAAGTTGCTTACAACCTTTTGTGTTTTTGTTTATAGAAATTGATCCAGATGTTTGACATTAAGTGCATCAAAAGACCCGTCTACTTTGTGAAATTAACTAAAAAATCAGTAAACAAGTTGACAATGGCCCTTCGACAAAAAAGCCATTTTCATCCTTTTAGCCCTTAGCCGATCGGTTAGGTACCGACCATATCTTTAAACAATAATAACAAAGATAAAGTTCCATCACCAAAATTTACTCCTTTCAAGTTATATCTAATAAATCTAAGCTCGTTAACCATTTCTCCTCTACTGAACTGTTATACAGAGTGAAGATCTGATCAAATCACATTAAGACGTATTTCATTTTAGTCTTAGTGAATTGACTTCACCATATCCCATGGGATTTAGATTCAACTCATCAAAACACAAGTAATCAAGTTAAACAAAACATGATCAAGTTAGTTTTAAGTAATTTTCTTCTAAACATTGCAGATAATTGCTCAAAATAACTAACAGATCGTATTTGAAAATATAGTACCTGTAAATCGTCTGTGAATCGTCAACAATATTGAATTTGAATCTGCAAGGATAGATGAGAAGGGTTGAGACTAAATAAAAACTAAAATCCAGATCGCAGCAATCATAGATCTAAATATGTACGATCAATGAAAAAACAAGAGAGAGAGAGAGAGCACCTGTTGGCTGTTGCCGTCCGAAGATCTCAACTGTGTGTGTGAGTGTGAGTGTGTGTGTTTTTTATCATCCCGCCATAAATACGGTGGTCCACCGTCCATCTATTCACAATCCACACGCATTATCCACGGTGCTTTTATTTTTATTTTTATTTTTATTAGCTAAAAAAGATACACGTGTAAAGCATCGGGTGTCCAGACCATCAAGGTTGTCTGTCCATACAAGTATCGTGACCAAACAATTTTTGGTTTGTTGTTCGGCTTCAAATCCTAATTTCGTTTTTTTTATTTTTTTATTTAGATACAATAAATTAAACTTATACATAAATTTTCATTTTTCGTGAGACCAGGGCGGACCTGATGTGGTGGCATGGGTGGCACGTGCCACCGTATTATTTCGCGGCCGAAGGGTAAAAAATTTAGGTTTGTTAACGGTGCTACCGTATTTCCCTGAAATCCAAATGGTGCAACTAAAACCCAAACAAAACAAAGCCCAAATAACCAAAACCATACTTTTTGTAATTATTTTTTGGTCTATATTGACCGTTTTCAAAATATGAAGACGTGTTGGGTACAAGCTTAGGAGTTGTTTATCGGTAGTACTGTAAAAACCATATTTTTTGTAATTATTTTTTAGATGTATATCATACTATATTAATTATATGGTGCCACCGTTTGAAAAATTTTCTGGGTCTATCCCTGAGACTTAAATTCTCTTTAAATAGTTGAATTATTAAAGATGAAGAATCTGTCTAGTGTGAGAATAGAAGTTAATATGAAAAACATAAGAAGAAATTAGTTTCTTAATCACTTATAAATTGTGTTTCTTATGGAAATTGATCCGGTACATATCGGTACATTTTATTACTGTTGATCTACAATTATGATTGATCTAAATGGTAGATACATTTTTTTACTTATTTTATCATAACTTTCATTCTCAGCAAAACTCAACCCGATTATTGGATACTATTAAATCAAAGGGCTAAATGCATGAAATAACAACCTACTTTTATAAATTTTCTTAKTATAGCATTCTACTTTTGTTTTTCTTTATTACAACAATGTACTTTTAAATTATTTTTTATTATGACATTGTACATTAAATTTTTTACCTATTATAGCAATTGATCTTGTTACATTCTAAACCGGTTAACCCATTGACATTTTTAGTTTGTTTGACTTTAATGAGGTGAAGTGAATGACATATCATTTTGATGACTTAACTAAAATAAAAAATAAAAACCTATTTTTAATTATTATTAATGATTTTTATTTTTCTTTATTATGATTTAAAAAACATTCAATTTTTTTGATTTTTTCTTGTTAAATTACAAGAAATTAAATATTCTATAATAAAAATATTTCTTAAATAAATATGATAAGTTATTTTCAAGATATATTTTGTTTGTAAAAAAATGTAACACTTCTTATTTTATGTTATTAAAAAAGATACATATCTTTAAAGTTCTTTTTGAAGTGTTAGAGAAATAAATTGTGATCTACAATTTTTGAATATTGTTATATTAATGAATAATTCAAAAAAATCTAATTAATTTAACATATTTATGCGTCAAGTAAATTTTTTTTGAACAAATATAATGTATTTTTTAAAAGATAATATTTTTAGTAAAAAAGAAATAATTCTTAATTTCTTTTTTAGGATTCTATTTTATCATCAATACAGTCCCCGTTCACGTTTTTCCTTTTTCTTATCACTGAATAGATCTCTTTACTTGTATGACTTAGATGTCTCGTATTTCTCGAAAAAGTGATTCGATTGATGATGAAAGAAGAGAATTCTTCGTTCAGTTCTCCACCTTAAYGACAGAAAAAGGGATTGATCAAATTTTATTGAGTCTGACTTATAGTGATCATTWATCRAAGAATGRCTCTGGTTATCAAATGATTGAACAACCGGGAGCAATTTACTTACGATACTTAGTTGACATTCATAAAAAGTATCTAATGAATTATGAGTTCAATACATCCTCTTTAGCAGAAAGACGGAATGAAAAAAGAAATTAAGAATTATTTCTTTTTTACTAAAAAATATTATCTTTTAAAAAATACATTATATTTGTTCAAAAACTTTTTACTTGACGCATAAATATGTTAAATTAATTAGATTTTTTTAAATTATTCATTAATATAACAATATTCAAAAATTGTAGATCACAATTTATTTCGTTAATATTTTAAAGAGAACTTTAAAAGATATTTATTTATTTGAACAACATAAAATAGGAAAAGTTGTCTTTTTTACAAACAAAATATATTTCGAAAATAATGTTTCATATCTATTTAATAAATATTTTACTCTAAGAATATTTAATTTGAATGCAACTTAATAAGAAAAAGTAAAAAAAATTAAATGTTTTTTTAGATAATAGCAATGAAAAATGAAAATCACTAATAATAATTTGAAATAGGTTTTTATTTTAATTTTAGTAAAGTCATCAAAATGATGTGTCATCCACATCACTTCATTAAAGTCACACAAACAAAAAAGTCAAAAGGGTTAACCGGTTTAAAAGGTAACAGGTTACCCATTGCTATTATGGGTAGATTTTTTAAAGTACAATCTTAATAAAAAATAATTTGAAAGTACATTGCTGTAATAAAGAAAAACAAAAGTAGAATGTTATAATAAGAAATTTTATGAAAGTAGGTTGCTATTTCATACATTTAACCCTAAGAAAAATCAGAAGTACAATGTTATAATAAATAAGTTTATGAAAATAAATTGTTATTTTGTACATTTTGCCTTAAATCAGAAGCCTTGGTCAATTAAGCATGAATAAAATCCTATACTCCATTTTCAATTTAACTTTTGAACGATGACCACATCTAGTAAATTAGATCATTTCTAACAAATTCTCGAGATTTTATTCTATCTTTAGTTTTAATAGATTACTTATATTATTGTTTAAAATAAAATAATCAATAATTGGTTCCAAAGGCTCGTTTCACGTATTCTAACATAGTATTAGAAGCATTCCAACCATTGTATGCATGAATACGAATACAAAAGTATCGACAAACCACCGGAATCTAAAATATATAAGAAGCTCACAGTTCACGATCATCGACAATTTAAAAATGGGTTATTACGCTAATACACAAACTTCGAATTCCAACGGTTTAGGTCTCAAAACTCAAAACGTATAGAAACATCGGTCGATACTAGTTTCTAAGAGTAAAGATGAAACAAAGAAAGCATCACTTAAACCTCTCGTACAACAAACTAAGCAAGCATTCCCGAAATTGAATCTTCAGTTTGTAGGAAGTAAGAGAAAACCGAAAGCTCTTTTTTTTCGCTTTTCAGGAAATCAAATTCGACGACATGGGTCATATAGACTTGTAGATTTGTGTTGTTGGAATGGGGATGGATATATTCGGCATACATCATCGATGTACTCTCATCGTATGCTTTCTTGTGAAAGTTCTTTAATCAAACGAAAACTACCTGCTGCTATCTATCGACTAAGAAGACCATAGGAAGGTAATTCCTCGAGCCGTGTGACGTCATCTTGTAAAAGCTCTCTTTCTAGCTGACGTCGTGTTGATTTCATCACAGCCTGTATCATGGGCCCAAAAAACAATTACAATACTCTTTTTTTTTACTGGTGTATTTAGGTATATAGCCTTAAGTGAGATCTAATTTAAACAACGACCTGCCTACGAGTATGAAGCCATTTTTCCTTTAATATGCCACGAGGTCATGGAATAAATAAAAATCTCATTTAAGATTATATACCGAAATGACTATCACCAGAAGCAGGTCATTTGAAGGCTATCGAGTTTATTTTAGGTCATGCCCGTAAGCTAAAATCTCATATCTTTAAAGCCATTTAGCTAAATAGGGTGTATTAACATGAGATTATTGAAAGAACATACATTGAAATCCATGTAGGACGCGTGCATGGCAAGCCATTGACGATCCATTAGCTTGAACGTGATGCAATACAGTAGGTCAAATGCAGATTCATTTTCTGTCGGGGTACATGGGGAGAGTAAATAATAAAGGAAGGTACGTTAGCTTCTGCACTAGTTCTATAAAACGATAAATAATTAAAAAAAAAACAAAAGGTAAATAGAGACCGTGAACTTCTAACAGTAAAATGTCGAATATGATTGGAAACTAAGGGTTACCTTCATGAGGTTTATCAAATATTTCTTTTATAGTGGGTTATAGCAGATTAAAATGAGTAGCTGTATGTATATACCTGAAAGAAACTTCAGGAAGGTCGCTCCAACAAAAGTTCGTGGTTTTACTGCACGGTTGAAACACTATCAGCATGCAAAAAAGGATTAAAATTCTAAATGCATCTCTGTTAGAATCCAACTTCCAATATATTCATCAGAAAGTCTGACGACTAAAGAAATTCATTAACATCAAAAGGAGAATGAAATGGGAACATTTCCACGATTTCATCTAGCATTGTATATGAAATAAACAATGAACGACTCCAGTCTAGCTAAAACCCCAGCAACCTATTTACTCAACAAGTGCTACAGAGCATAATAATAAATAAAAAGATCGAAAACCCGAATCTAAAGGTTCTGTTAAAAGCTGGCAGAAAGTGAAAGGAACAGAATTGATCCGAAATACATCTGGAAAGCTAAAACTCAAGAGCTTGCAGTAGTATCCACTTCTAACTTCTAAGAAGTGAAGTATTAAATTTTATCAAACCTGCTTCAAGATCAAGCATCTGAATAAGCATGAATGTGATGTTAACACCAGCTACAGCAAAAGGATATTCCCACATGGCCCTCTCACCGTCCTGCTTCCGAAGAAGATCTTGAAATGATTTCTGCGTAACGTATAGTAGTCGATTAGCACCAAATAGATAAGAAAATAGTAAATGGCATCTGTCCAAACTAACAAACAGAAGCATGAAGCACTTTACATGAAAGAATTTGGAGAATACACAATACATGCTTTGTTTGAAAGTAATCACACTCTCGTTCAATATATATCATATAATGTATTTAGTTTACACATTCGTAGTATTGTGTAAATAGAATATAAACAATTAGGTTTTGAAGACCCATAACCTTGAAGCCCCATGAGAGACAAATAAAGCCTCTAGGACAATTTGTGATACACAAACCTCAATTCAAGTTTATAATCACCCTCCAAGTAAGGTTTACATTACAACATTTCTTTTATTCACTGTTTTCGGTTTCTTCTTGTATTTTTCCTAGTTTGATCACACTTCGAGTAAGGTGAGACAAAGTATTTTCCAGTGGAGATAGGCCTACACAAAGGATCAGCACTAGGTCCTTTTCTTTTTGCTGCGATTTTAGATGAGCTCCCCCACGGGATCCAGGGAAGTGTCCCATGGGGTACGTTATTCGCGATGACAATGTGTTGGTGGGAGAGTCCAAAGTAGAGGTCAACGACAGGTTAAAGTAGTGGAGTGTGGCTTTGGAAACTCAATGTATGCGAAGTACTCATTCGAAGATGGAATACATATGTTGCAACTTTAGGTGGGGAGTTCATAAAGTATGGGGTAGAAGTCAACATTGGGGGGAAAGGGTATCCAAAGAAGACCGTTTCACATATCTGGGTTCCGTGATTCAAATAGAGGGACAGGTTGAAGAAGACATAATGCATCACATAAAACTAGGGTGGCTCAAGTTGAAAGTTGAGGAAATGAGAATGTTTAAGGATATGTGGTAAGACCAAGTTAAACAAAACCCCGAATGCGTTCCGGGTGGGGTTGGGAGTTGTCCAAATAATGAATAAATTGAGAGAAAGGGTGTTGGTTTGGGCACATTCGTAGGAAACTGATGACAGCATCGGTGAGGAGAGTAAAAAGAGTGACAGTTGGGGGGAAGAGGAGGTGTAGGCCAAGAAGGATCAGGGATGAACAATTGTGGTTGGATATGGCGGCTTTAAACATTTCCGAGGACATGATCGATGACAGGAGTACTTGGAGACGGATAACTAGGGTAGCAAAGGTTTGGGGACATGTAGTCAGAGTAGTTGGGCAGAAGGGAGTTGGACAAGTTTTTTTTTTTTTTTTTTTGGGGGGGGGGCATAGGGGGCTGGTAGTTTAGGCTAGAGATCTGTTGTTTGGCCGTACTTGCTCTATGTGTTTACCTTTCATATGTTTTTGTTGTGCCTACTCATTACTTCTGCCTACTTTTTTCCATGCTTCGTGCACCATATGTTAGTCTTTATTCCTGATGCATGTTTGCTTGCATGTGTACACAAGTCAGGTATCCATAGAAACAGACGCTCTACCCTTTTGGGGTAGAGGTCAGGTATGCGTACATCTCAACCCCTCCCCCCCAACCCTACTTTCAAGTGACATTTACCAGGTCGATTGGTTTACTTTACATTCGCTAGTACATTGCACGAATATACGTGGTTAGAGATTATTCCACAAAAACCACCAATACTGCTGCCATGGCCATGCCTAAAGAAGCTACAATCAGCATATGGTTTATCAAGAAATTACAATCTCCAGATACAGTAGCTGCGAGGTGAATAAACTTTTCCAAGGGGTCTCGTCCCCTTTTTCCAAAAAAAAGAACCCAGGACAACATGGCTGATCCCGTGAATAAGAAAATGAAGTCCATGTAACAGACCTATTTTCAAGGGGTGATGGGAGGTGAGTTTGGGTATAGCCATACAGTGAAGGTTGATCCATACAACTTGTTACTCTGAGTCCCATATATGATATATGTCTAGGTATCACTAAGTTTGAAGCTCAAAAGAGGTGGCCTGACAGACAACTAGGTATATCTAAGTTTGAAGCTCTCAGTTTAACTCTTGACAATACCCATTAACCATGTGTCAATAGATAATGTCACTAAGGTATATCTAATATAACCCCAAGAGGTGGCCTGACGAACAACTAGGTATCACTAAGTTTGAAGCTCTCAGTTTAACTCTTGACAATACCCATTAACCATGTGTCAATAGATAATGTCGTATGAAATAGTCAATAGTTAGATATTAAAGATAAAATAAGAGCACTCACACAACATTTGTGGATTACGGAACAATAAATATGAGCACCACATATATATATATATATATATATATATATATATATATATATGTAATCTCAATTAATTGGGTTGCAAAGGTTGTACAAATGCACAAGGTCGTAAAAGAAATATACCCTATATATATATATATATATATATATATATATATATATATATATATATAAGCAGACTAATGCGTATGAGATGCACATGATATAAAATCAAATATCTTTAATACATGTCAAAGGTTTTAACAATTATATCTCCATGTCTCTTCAGATGCAGGTCACAGACATGTACGAACAAACACACACTCAATGAGAGGGGGCATACCTGGAAATTCCGGGCAAAATACAGTAAGTTCTCCAGTGATATGAACCCACCACCCCTATCAGATAACTCCAGGGTTTATGAATAGGTAAGTACTGAAAGCTTTCAAGGAGAAAAAGGAAATTTTTTACCGAAAATCTGTGGAAGGATCCTTCCCTTGCCACCCCATTTCCTTCCACTGCTCAGAAACTAGATCACAGAGTTCCTCTTGTGGAAAGGCAGCTTTCCACAATGCCCTTAACGCTTCCTACCACAAAAAAAGAACATAATGGAAGCCCATCAACAGTGCAAACACAAGAATGTTTTAGTTCACCACAATATGTGCTGGTAACTATACATCCATCTATCCATACATACACATACACCAAGTTAAGTACCTGATGTTCTGGAACTGAACCATCATAGGCAATGTCTAAACGGTTTTGCAGCCTCATTAGGCAATCCTCCTGACAGCGTAAAAGAAAAACGAAACATAAGTGTACTTTTATAGTGCACAGAGATATTTTCCCACATTCTTTCCCAAAAAAATTATGTTCAAAAAAGTTATATATTCTCCGACATTATAGTCAATAAGCAAAACCAGAGAGATCATTGTAGTAGATGCGAAAGTTTACTTCCATCATTAATTACACAGGCATGCCTCTATTATGCAAGGACCCCTGTTCATATATGGATAAGTATATCCGCCTATGTTAATTTCTAACATCAATGATCACATTACCTCCCTAAAAATGGCTAAAAGGATGGAGAAAATGTTTGAACCCCCAAGAGAAAAGACAACATGACTTGCTGGAAAACTGCAAACTGGCACACAAAATTTCATATGTGAAGCATATTATAACCCAACACATCAACTTTGGGGGTGTTAGATAATTGTTAATGTTCTGTTACAACTAAGTTACCAAGAACAAGCACTGTTGGAGAAGAAACAACATAAAAGCTGAGTCAAAACCAACTAAGAGCACAATATTGAAAACCATGAGCCCATGATACATTATTTGATAACTATAAAACAGCCTCTCAACTCTTTGGGGTAGAGGTTAGGTCTGTTTACATCCCACCTCCCCCCGGCCCCCTTTGCCCCACCTCTAGGTGGGATTTATTGCGCTTGTTTGGTTTGGCTTGGAATCTCTATGGTGTACAACAAACAAATCAAATATATTAATCATGTCAATTGGTTTAGCAAATACCTGGGCAGGTGTCAAATCAAATGACGGGCGAGAGTCGCCTTCTTTTCTCTGAACACAAACACATGAGAGGCTTCTGCCCAGCCATGCTGTTGAGCCCGCAACAACCTCATCTATTACAAGAAGAAGGTGACAAGAGCAATTGAGTTCCAAGTTTCCCAAAAGTTAATGTTATGCAGCTATAGAAAACTTTCAAAACATATACCATAAATAAATTAACAAACAATTAGAAGTTATTAGCTTTCTGCAGAAATGGAAACACTTGTTATTTAAGGTTCATACTTCATAGAAATCAATCGTATGATTATAATTAAGAGAAATTAGAAATCAAAATAAATTCCTTTAACATAAAGCATCACCGGATTTCTAAAATGTCAAGAAACAAAAGAAGTTAATAATAACCAAGCAGATTGAATTATTAGCTGAACCAAACCAATCAAATAAACATAAAAACTTATCAAGGTCTAGGCGAGCAACAAGAAATGTTGTACACGGCAGCGGGCTAAAGGGTCAGAACACACTAAAGTACCAAATATCAAGTAGACCAATAGGTACATCATTACAGTTTGCTAGAAAATGATGGAACATGATCTCTAAGCCCACTATGATATACAACTGTCTGCCATGATAGCAAAAAAACAAAAGCATACCAATATTTCAGTATTACTTAGACGATACACAACATTGACTTTAAGCTCACATAATTTCTATTCTAACAAACTACCTAAGCAGCTAGAAAACGTAATGCACATTATCGAAGATGGTATTCCATATTAAAAGGAATTAAAGAACCTGCAATCACCTACAAAATTTGAACATATTGTAAGAATAACTTTATACTCAAACTGAAATTGAAGCAAAGCACATGTGTTCAAATATAAAATACTAAGAGATTCAAATAATTTTTCGCTTGGTTCCAATCACAAAACCAGGATTCCAAGCAGACAGATGTAAAGTTGATTCCATCAGACGCCATAACCAGACCCACACATTAATTCCCAGATGTGAAATATAGATACTTCTACAAAAAGAAGCTTTCACAAAGCCACATCTTCGGACCGGTAATTCGTATCAAGGCAAAGGTGCCCACTGCACCTTTTCTCATTTTATCAAAATGAACCATAGTACCTTAACTAAAGTCCCTTCTCAAATTTAATTGATAAAAGTTACACTTGTAAGCAAGCTCAACTGACCACCAGAATCAATTGAAGCAACAACCTAAAAATTCAACCAAAACAGATCCAATCTACTACAAAATCACAATAAATACCAATGTAGTTGAACAAGGTTAATCGAAGTAGATTTGGTATACCTGAAGTTGTATGACAAGTATTGCTTCTATCAAGACCTTGCGAAATCCTCCGAACTGCGACAAATGATCCACCGTCGTCTCCGCCTCTATCATCCATTCCGAGAAAAACACACATACACACACTATTTGAGGTTTGGTTCCACCATTTATGAACCAGAAACACCGGCGCAGCACATCTTGAATTTGGGAATAAAATATCAAATGAAGAGGAAAAATCTAATCCAACGTATATATAAACGATGAAGTTCACTTGAGATTGAGATAGCGAGAGGTCAACTTAATTTTGACCCAATATGGTCAACAATTTGACTCTTTATCGTTACTCGGTCGGTTCTATAAATCATACTAACTTCTCCCCTAAGTTTTATTCCATTATATATAAATAACATCAACGAAAAAGCTAAGGGGTGTTTGGGCCGGCCCCGATCACGTGCAGTCCGTGCGGTAGTACCGCGCATTAAAGCCTAAAAAGACATCAAGTGCGGTAGTACAGCGCATCAAAGCCTAAAAAGACATCAAGTTCTCATCTATTATTAGTTTTGGGTTTAATAATTTGGGTATTGGACAAATGAGATTTAACTATAAAAATAGGCCCAAGGTCTGGTAGTGATGAATACTGAATGTACATCGTGAACCAATTAACGTGCCATCGTTCTAACAACTCAATCCAATTTATTTGTTCTTCAAAGTTCGACTATTTCGATTTTCAAGGCATGAAGTTCTTTTTCCAGTCGATTAACGGTCATGAAATTAGCTTCAAGAAATCAAAGATGAAAATCTCGAATGACTGAATTCTACTGTTGATTGAACTTACTGAGTTGTTGTGTGAGTCATATTATGATTTATAGATCTTTAAATATTTTTGCAAAAAAAATCTAAATTTCTAACTGATTATTATAAAGTTGGGTCATGTGGTCGTGTGGGTTACTGACCTACTAGGCTAAGGCTAAAGAGCTTTTGTCATTTTGACAATGAGTCTTCCTCTTGCATATTGAAATATCTGATAATTGAAATTTTCATTGCACATGAGTACATCACTATATCAACATAGATGGAGCACACTGCACAACGTTAACTACATATTGTGATACTGTCTTAATTATTGGACATTTGTTCTTTGCAATGCACAGTGACAGATTACGAATTTTACTATTTATTATTGTTCTTTTGACTTCTTTTGTTTACTTTGAGGTTTGACATTACCGCATTAGATTTAGGGGCCGTTTGATTGGTTTTTTTATTAAGTTCTATATGGCTAAAGTTGTCTTAATAAATTAATCTGTTTGTATAAGTTGGAAAAGTTTTTGTTTGTGATAGTTTTTTCGTAAATGTAAGGAGTGTTTTTTTAGTTTGAAGGAACATGTTTGAAAGGAAAAAAAAACTTGACTTTCTATATAAAGCTCCCTCTAGAAGCTTACCGGATAAGTGACTTTCTATATCATTAAGCCACTACAAAACAATCATGCATAGTTGAACGAATAAGCTGGTAGTTCCATTAAGTTTATTAAGCTGCTAACAGATAGACCCTTATCCTTTAGTCATTAGACCTGTAACTTTTGAGTTTTACTTTTTGTTTACAATGACAGTAATTTGGATGTAAATTACTATTTTAGTTAAAAACTATTTATAGTTTTCCTTGTCTTTTAAGTATCATATATTGAAATGAAGTTTCTATTTTGCTAATTTGAATTTGGAAAAAGAAAAACTGGAAAAAAATGAAGCATGATCTTAATCTATGATTTATCCTTTTATCATTCTATATTTTGTATTCGAGGTTTTGGTTTTTATGCTCTCCCCCCTTATATTTTTTTTTATTATAATTAATAAATATCAACATTAGGATGAGACACTTAGCTCGAATAGGTTCTAAACTTTTTAAAAAATCGCATGTTTCGTTGTTTCATTGGCTTAAAAAAAGGCTTAGGAGCATTTTTTTATTATTTTCGCACAGGGCATCAAAAATCTTAGGACCAGCCCTGCTTATAAAAGTAACTTATTGACTTATTCCGGTATGACATTGGTAATAAACACTTTTGAGTGTTTGGATAAACAACTTATACCGGTGCTAAACCAGTAATAAGGTTTTTTTGAAAAAGTTAAACTCGTCTAACTTATAATAAGTTGATAAGGACTTTTGTAGAAAAGTATAAGTTGTTTTAAATAGGCAATCCCAAACATCCCCTTAAATAAGATATATTTAGCAAAATGTTGAGATCGGTAACTTCAATCGGCACCATACAGAATTCGTCTTTGATATTGACGTCAAAGACATTTTTGACTCGTTCAACGGTTGAAACTAATGGTCCAGAATCGAACGACATGTCTTGTATTCAGACAAAGTCACCTCCCCCATTTACCATCTAAGCTACATGCCATGTATCAGATATGTTTGATACAGTTTAATTTTATTTTATGCATGAAACTGATTGTCGATTTTTGTCAAAATTAGTTGTTACCGATAAAACTAACGTTTAGCAAAAAGTAGCTGATAAGTTAGTTAACAATTATAAAATGACCAAAAATAACAAAAAATTATTAAAGATGTAACAGAAATAACATTTCAATAATTTTTTTTAATATCCTTTGAATAAGCTAGTTTATGGCAATATAAACAAGAGTTTTTCAGTACAAGCTAGCTTATGTTGCCAAACATGCCTTAATTAAAATGCAATCAATTACAACTATTGATTGATATTTGGGCAAAAAGTTGATTACCAACAATCTCAAGTGACCTCATACGAAACCCATCTCCAATGATACCAATGTGGGGGGGCATTTGTGGTTTATTCAGCGACTAAGGCTAGCGGGAGGGCTCAAGATCAAACCCGAGATCCATCCCTTTACCAACTGAACTATATGCTAGACTCTATTCCAGTCCCGATCAAAAACCCATGGCTCGTTCAATGTGTTTTGTCACCGGTCCCTGGCTAAGCCCAAACTGGTCCCAATTTTTTTCCCCAAAAATCAATTTTGAACATAGAAAAATCATATTTGAAGACTTCTTTTTTTTTTTTGGACAACATTTTATTGAAATACATTTTAAAATCTCTAATTAGATCATTTAAATATACTTTAAAAAGTTTATTTTAATTTTTTACACAAAAATGTTATAGATGTTTTTACAATTACGATCTTCCAGATTTAGTATTGGAACACTTAAAAAGAACTTGACAACGTCAAAAAGAATTTGATAAAACTTAAAAAAAAACTTGAAATTTGTGTTAAAAAATTGAAAATCTTGTAGAAATCTTGATATATAATTTATAAAAACTTATTTTCTAAAAAAAGTTTTGGCCTGGTCCTATAACCTGTCACGGGTCAGACTGTGAATTTCCAAAAAAGTGTAACCGGTTAAGGATCGATCGGAATCGCGGGTCCCGAGCCACACTATGTCCATTTCGCCATCTCTACGTTAGAGGCACTAAAGGGCCGTTTATCAAACGCTTAGCCTGGTAAGTGTTTGCCAACAAAATTCAACACTATCGTTTACTTATAAGATAAGATTTTTGTCCACAGAAACAGTATCGTATGCAACGATTTACCTGGTAAGTGCTAACCGTGGTAAGAGTAGTATCCCTCACTTACTGGGTAATGCTCTCAGTCATTGTCTTCCACTTACTGAGTAAGATTCTTGATCTTTATCATATTCATTCTGTAAGATAATCTGACCGAATAAATTTATTCGGTAAATATTTCGTAAATGATCCATTCATATTAACTGAAATAAAGTCTTTTGCAAAGCTCTTTTATTTTCTTCAAGCTTTTCAAACCAAATCTGCTTTCATTTAATATTTATTTTTGAAACAAAATTTTAAATCACATATTTAATTTAAAATATTTATTTAAAATTCTATGGTTTGAAATTATATATTCTAATAAACATATTTTTCTAAATATATCAAATTTACCAGCATGATGTCATATTAGGTACCAAGACTGAACTAGAAATTTTATTAAATAGTGGTATCATTTTACTATAAAAAAATAAATATAAAAATGTTTTTTTTATAAAATCATCATTAGTTTGTTGGTTAGTTCATTATTTTTTATATGTGAGGTCCAATGTTTAGGTCTTTTATTGAATTTTTTTTTTCAAAAAGACAATAAATTTTAAATTAAAAGCTAAAAATTAAGAAAATGGCATTAAACAAGATTTTAACTCGGGTTTAGAGTGAAAGAGAAGTCTTGTACCAACTCTATCAAAGAAAATTTATGTCTCTATTGTAATTTCAAAATACATATGAAGAGTCGAAGACACCCAACAAATTGATACAGTGATGTTTTTCACGACGATATAACTTTTTATATTATGACAAATGAACGGAATAGTGGTCTGTGCCACCGTACGCACTACATGGGTATGTCATTGATTAGGTATTTAAACAAACATGTTCCAAATTATAGGTTCACACACACATATATATATATATATATATATATATATATATATATATATATATATATATATATATATATAGTCTTGGGATCATGTGTGACCAAGGGTTTTTCGTGAGACCTGTAAGACCAATTATCAACCCTTAGATTTAATCTACAATCTGAACATTCATAATCACAAGATTGTCACGAGACTTCTCAATAATCACAAAATTGTCACCGTGCAACTTTAGACTATTAGATCATTAGCTTATAATATTGATCAATAAACATGAATTGGTCTTACGGGTCTCWCGAAAAACCTTTGGTCTCACGTGAACCCAACCCTATATATATATATATATATATATATATATATATATATATATATATATGGGGGCAAGTTCATTTGTTAATCATATACTTGGTATTAACAATGTGAATCAATCATAACATTTAATTTACTCGATCTACGAACTAAAACATCAGTGGCATTTTTGTAAGAATAGTAAAATGAACGTGTGTTATGTCATAATGAACAATAAACATGGTATAATTGGAAAAGATCAGGAGCTTTTATTATGCACCAATTTCAGTTCCTAGGAATTTCTCCTTCATTGTTTTGAAATCGAAATGAATCACATTTTATTTGTTCACTTATGAATGGTTTATTAATTTACCAATGAACATTTATACGATAAGTAACAAAAATCGGTATTTATAAAAATTGTTCACTAATGAACTTGTGACCGATTATTTGTGTATTAATGATTCTAGTTCATGTATGAACAACATGTGAACCGTGAACAGATCATTCAAAACACTGAAAACGAAAAAAAAAATCATTTGAATCAATATGTTGAATGGTACCGTGTTCATTTTGATTATCTATCATTCAAATTAATTTGAACATAATTATTGAGAACCTTGAAAATGGTGACATAATTATAACATCTCATTTAGTACAATGAAGTAACTTACAAATGAAAATTACTATGTATCCTTAATCATTGACTCTAACATTTGAATTAACTATGACTAAAGAATGATTACGATTGGTCCAACAAGTTTACAGAATCTGTAAAATCGGGGTTATGAGAATCTAAAATATTATCATTTATGGTTATCGTCATAACAATGTCCCAATTTTTTTGGAAAAAACATCGTACTTGTTTTTTTATCTACTAGTTTATCCCTCCCTCTCTCTCTCTCTCTCTCTTTCTATATATGAAAAATCGTGTTACAATAAGAGTTAAAGTGAGAAGCGTAAGAAAGGGTCTGGATTTTTGATCAATGAACATAAATTGGTCTTACGGGTCTCACGAAAAACCTTTGGTCTTACGTAAATCCAACCATATATATATATAGAAATACCAGAATTGGAACGGGGACATAATTTACCCCCATTGGAAAAGGCAGAAAACATGTATAAAAGTAGGTCACATGGTGATGTTGGCAAATTAGGGTCGTTAGCATCATGGAACTACCCAACTTTTCTTGCTTCTCTAAAAGCTTAATAAAAAGTTTAACGATAATCATTAAGGGTTTGTTTGTTTTAAAAAAAAAACCACTTAAATGTCTCTTAAGTCTGAATCGGTCAGATGTTTTTATTTTCAAACAGTTTGTTTTTTCTAAAATAAGAGCTGAAAAGCTCTTATTTTACTCTGAACAAAAAAGTGATAACATAATCACTTAAATTCTCTTAATCGCTCCCTTCATCCTCACCTCCAGATCCAACCCTCCAAATTTATCACGCAAGACATTCGATCTCCAAATCGATCATGACCCAGATCGATCCACACACTCTCAATCTCCAAACAGTCTGACTGATTCAGATTTCAGACTCCAGAGGTAAAAACAAACAGTCTGACTTATTCAGATTTCAGACTTCAGCACCACCTCCTAAAAATCAAAAGTGAAATCAGACTTCAGACTTTAGCACATCTTAAAAAACAAACGCAACCTAATACTTCTAATCGGCTTTATTTATATCGAATTTGATTAAAATTATTAAATATGGCAAATATAACTCTTAAATTTTATCTGTTTGAGTTCTGATGACTAAAACATAAACTTTGAATACTCAACTAAAAAAACTTATACATTTTTCTTTACGTTAGGCTTTCAAAATATGACAGCTTGAATTTCAATAAAACAAAAGAACTTCGTTCATGGTCCTCATCAATGGCAGCCAAGGGACCACCTCGTTGCATCAACCACTATTCCATCACTTATCGTGTCATTGTTGTAGTGTTTTACATCAACATATTTTTACTTTTTAAGCCATTTAGTTGAGTATGGTTGGGATTAAACCGACCAATAGCCATTGATCTCAATGGTTCGGTCTAAACAATATAAAAATAAGGTAAATCTGGGTATGATAAGCCACTGATTTGATCACTATCAGTTTTATCTGACAGGCTTCAGTAATAACAGATAAGGGATAACAATGAACTGATTACTATTGAACACCGACAATCGTCATTGTTCACCAGAATGTAGTCGGGATGTGCTACAAACATGTTTTCAGAACGGCTGATTGAGTTATGTTGGATTTAAATTAGTCAGAATTGATTGATTTTGATGATTCAATCAAAACATATAAAACATCAAAAATAAATTTGGATATAATAGATTACTGATTTTGATCATTATTATTTTTATCTGATAGACTCTAGTAATTAATAAGTTATTAAAAATATATATTAATATATCTTATAAAAAAAATTAGATGATTATGATGAGGCCTACAAGGCTACAAGCATGGAGGTTGGCTTTCTTTTTCACTTGGGACCATTTTATTCACGTGTGTGCAATCTAATTGAACCCTTTTTCTTTTAACTACCTCCATGTGTTCTTGTAAGATTCATACCCCCAAAGCTTTCTTTATTTAGGGGTGTTTGGATTGATATTTGAAACCATTTATGTTTTTTTTATAAAATCATTTATTAATTTATTATAAGTTAGAAAGGTTTAATTTTTTCAAAAACTCTTTATTATCGGTTTGACACCGGTATAAGTTGTTTATCCAAACACTCAAAAAATGTTTATTACCGATATCAGACCGGAATAAGTCAATAAGTTGTTTTTATAAGCAATCTCAAACACATCCTTAGTCTTTTCAATTCTAATTTATTTAATTTAACCTTTAATTAAATAAAATAAAATAATTTTACGTCTTCCATTTACGATTTTTTTTTTAGCTACGACAAAATGAAACGACAACGACGGATGATTCATCTTTTCGAGAAATTAGGCAAAAATGTGGGAATACAACCATAAATTTATTCAGCAGTCTTTATATTTCAGTTTAATTATGGTCTTTGTATTTGTTAGGAACTTAGGTTCATGTCTCTATCCTATGTGATATGTGTTCCTCTCAGAATCATGTGATAGCAATGATTTGATTCAACTTTGTGAAATCGAACATTAATGTGAGGTCTTGACACTAGTGATTAGTCATTCTCACATTTCTTTGGCTTATATCAATAACCACAACTTGTTTAACATCTCACACTCAACGATTGTATCATATACATAAGGGTGCACTCATGGCAAGACTTGATTGCCATGCGCCTTTTGCAAATTTTGCAACAAAAAGAGGTAAATGTCAGTTTTCCAGTAAGGGGTGAATGTGAGTTGTGTTGATCGAGTTGAAGACATTTGAACAATCCAACCGGATGTTTGTGATTTGAAAAATCACAACTCACCCTAATCCAAACCATATAGATTGAGTTGGATTAGTTGGGTTGAAACTTCGGTATATCAAAATTTTCTCGTATACTTGTTACCTTGAATAAGATGCAACTTATCCGTATTTCTCACGAAATAGATCACATTCAACTATTTTTTTTAACTTGGATATAAATGATCACATATAAATGAACATACATATAAAAACAAACATACAAGTTACATAGAAATGAAGAAAATATTTAAAGTATATGTAACTGGTCTAATGTGTATATTAATGACTTAACAAGATATTAAATACAAGAAATAAAAACCACAAGGGTGGTGTTTGATTGGTTTGAACTTGACTCCAAAAGTCAAAGGTACCAAGAGGTCTCAGATTCAAATCCTATGAGAAATAAAAATCCCTTGTGGCTATGGAGGTTCAAATGCGATGACTCCGAGTTATCTACAAAACAGGTGGTCGTCCTGAGATTAGTCGGTTCACATAACGGGTTGAATATCCAGGTTAATAAAAAAAATACAAGAAATAGAACACTCATTCTCCCTTTCCCTCCCGACCTTGCCTACCCGAAGAGACCCAACCTCACCTACATGACATGTTTATTAGCAGTTTATTGAGCTTAACGGGACTTGCAACTTATTTTATCATCTATACATGACAGTTTGATGATGTAACTTAAATGACATACAAAATGACTTGATCAACAAGCTCCTAAGGGTAGCTTTATAAAGTCAATTTTTTTTCCAAACTTTGCCCATCCTGGTAAAAAAAACACACTTCTTTCATCTATCAAAAAACCCTCCTAGACAAAAACCTTCCAGATCTGTATATGACTTAATAGAAAACCAACCAAAAAACCTCTTATTCTATAAAGCATTCCCAAACAAACCATTCTCTATCTAAGAAGCCATACAGATTTGTTGATAGTACCCATAATCCAACCAAGACCTACAGCTAACATGAACACGATTAGAGAACGAACATGATAATAAAACAGATTTACCATACCAAAAAGTTCCTCACGACATCAAAATCCATTAACAAGACCAGTTGACAACAGATTACACCCTAACAGCAAGACAAATAAAGGGTGGTTGTAACATAATAAGCTTAAATCACACTCTCAACAACCATTTATTCATAGATCCATGGGTGAAGGCTGGAAGACCAGTTAGCAACACCCTCAGGGAACCACAGAGCAATCTCCTTCTTTGCGCTTTCAACAGCATCACTGCCGTGAATCACATTTCTGCACATAAACAAACACATGATATGTTCGTATCACCAAGTGCGAAACAAGCAACTTTCCGCTAGAAAATGCATACGCACAACTATGACCAGTGGCAGGTTAAAATTGAATATGATGGTCTGGTCAAAGTCAACGACATCTAAGGTGTGTTTGGTACACAGACACGAGTGAATAGAACTAGACAGGACATGACCGATGAGTTTGGTAAACAGGAGAAAGAATTGCGAAAGACCTGCAGTTTAATTTGACAAGGTTAATTTAGTAATTCACCAAACTTGTGCCATCTCCCTATTTTTCTTTCACCTATCATGGTGTGATAGAAAATTTGTATTTTTATCCCACTCAGTCATGTCCGGTCCCTGGTCCGAGTCTCATTGTCACACCAAATATGGGACAAGAAGTTTTTATTCCGTTATGTCTTGTCCCATGTAAACACACCCTCAAGGAACGAAAGTCCATTCCTCACAACTAGGCAAGTTATATTTTGGCACCATGAATTTTCTTGAATTTGACCATTGACTATCGACATCTAGCACAATTATGGCTTCCTGCTGACCAAATACACAATACATTGACCATCTAGGCACTAAAGAGCAGCCGGCAGAAATGAATGTAACAAATGGTTTTGAACTTTATAGATAGAATATGCGATTGTACCTGCCAATGTCGATTGCAAAATCCCCACGGATGGTGCCAGGGGCAGACTCGGCAGGGTTTGTAGCACCAATGATCTTGCGACCAGTGGTGACCACGTTCTTGCCTTCCCAAACCATGGCAACAACAGGCCCAGAGATGATGTACTCAACTAGACCATTGAAGAAAGGCTTTGAGGACAAATCAGCATAATGCTTCTCGGCAAAAGCTTGTTCCACAGTCACAAACTTCAATCCTAAATACAAAACAAAACATCCAGTCATTTTTCATAATTAGTTTACATTTTTTTGGTTTTGTAAAAGGAGTTTTGATTTCTGTTCGACTATTAATTACGCCCTTAGATTCCTCTAAACAGTTACCAAAAATGAACCCACGACCAAAATCAATAATTCGTAATCATAACAAAGGGAAAATATGCAACTTTAGCTTCAGATTTGATAAAAGAAAAAGAAGATTTGCAATTTAAGTGGGACACACAAACAGAAAACAAAAAAGTTGCTTATTAATCCCCCAATTTGCATACAATCTTTCAAAATTCAAAAATGAAGATCGAGTAGATACTGATACGATCAAATGGGTAAATAGATATGATGAATACAATCACACCCTAATGTCATAATTAAGAGGGCCAATTAGTTCCTAATTTTCTTTAATATGTGTGTAATGAGACTTTGACCATGTAATCGAGTAGAAGTTGTACCTTTTAAAGAGAAACCCTTCTTCTCAAATCGACCAATGATTTCACCAACCTATAACAAGATCAAAGTGGTCACAACTTGAACACAAACAATCATGAGCATATTAAACACAAACAAAATCAACATTTTTAACAAATACTGAGCAATTATTTCATGTTAACTTGTCCACCCTGCAGTGAAACTTGTACGTTGCCTCAGATTTTTCTACATCAGTTCTGTGAAAAGGGCATGATCCACTTTGTTCTTAAATAAAGCAAATTCAAAAAAAAAAAAAAAACACTAAACCAACAGAGCAATCAACTGATGCAGATCATAAACCAGAAACAAAAATCAATATTTCAGAGTGTCTCTGCCTGTTTGCTTACAAGTTTTCACAAAATTTGTTGAATTCCTCAAAGGTATTGAACTAACATCTAAAACCCAATAACATAGAATCATCAAAATTCAAAACCCCATGACCAGATTCATCGAAAACTAAAAAAACTGGAAAAACAGAGTTGAAAATCGGAAGTTATAAGTAACACATCTGGATTTGGGATCTTTGAATCTACAAATCCGTATAACATAAAAGAAATTAAGAAACCAACAACCAGATTTATTAGAAACTAGAAAAGGATTGGAAAATCAGTTACAAAACAAAAAAAAAAACGACAAAACCCTAATGGGATTTTAGATTCCAAAAGATAAAATTCGGAACAAGAATAAGAATAAAGTGAACAAGGAATACTTACAAGGCCTCTTTGAACGCCATCAGGCTTGATCATGATAAAGGTCTGCTCCATCTTAGAGTTCTTTTAGGGTAATTTGCAAATCGACAGGGACGAGTGTTATACGGTGGGAACCGAGGAATAAGATGATTTATACATGCGAGTCATCCGCCGTCGGTCAAATTAAACCCTAACCCTAAATACCAGGAATATTCTTCAAGTATTTTCACGATTTTTACCCTCATTACCCCTAGTATTTTGGCAATGGTTTTACCAAATAAGGCAAGGACAAAACAGTCATTTACCAAGTTAACTCGTTGAGATGTAAATAATGCTAGTCGAGCTCGAGTATCACTGACTCGAACTTGTAACCTAATTTCCAAGCTCGAATTCGACTCGAAAACTCGCAAGTAATAAAAATCAAAGTTTGACTCGAACTCGATAACTATTTCTCAAACTCGAACTCGAATCAAGCTCGAACTTATTTAATGCATACTAATAATAGAAGTTCGAAATAAATTTAAAAAACCAGCAAATTAAACCCGAAAAATTAAAAGTTTACAACCAAATACAAAATAAAATCGTAACTAATTGTAACTTACAACCAAAAAAAAAAATACAATATGAAAACCAAGTACTTATAAATCCATCAACAAATCAAAACACGATCTTATTTCAATTCAATTCTCGGGTTCCATGAACGGCACTTGAATGAAGATTTTCCTTAGGTTGTTCTTCGTTCTTCTACAATAAAAACAAAAACAAATTAGTATACCTGTTAAAGGTAAAGATAAATAACTTAGCATATTTGCACATTTATCTTATTCTTCATTTTCACTCTGTGGAGTGATCTACATCAATCAATCACCCGTGTACATCAACATTTGTAGCGTTTTCGAAGCAAGAGAAGCTCTATGAGGATCTATTACACAACCACCATCACCAAAAGTGGCCTCTAAAAMCACGGTAGTGATAGGAACAGACAAGATATTTGCAGCTATTCTAGATATAAAAAAATTGCAGTCATTCTAGATAAAATTTGCAGCCATTCTAGATAAAATTCAGAACTTATTTGAGTTCCTTCCACCAAACTAAGACATTAAATTTGTAGTCTTGACTAAAGAAACATCCCTCTTCTAGATACATATCAAGCTCAGATTTCACACGAGTTATCGATGTTTCCCCACTAAAAACATCTAACAAAAGTTCAGATAAATCACTAGATCCATCGTTTCCTTCATGAGTATTTGATCCAAATTCACATTATCCACTTTCATCTCCAATAGAAGAAGAATACATTCTCACATACTCATCAAAAAGCTCATGCATCACCTCTTTGACTTTACTAATATTATCTCGAGCTACACTTAAAGGAAACATTTTAGGCCATGCAATCTCTATAGTCCTCAATTTCAATCTAGGGTCTAACACGGTCCCTATTGACATTAGCATGTTACATTCCCCCTAATATTTATCAAATTTCTCTTTCATGTGGTTTACCATACTTTTAACAAAATCATCATTCAATTGAGATTGTTTATCCAACATAACTTTAATCCTTTGTACTTTAGCAAGAAACAAGTTAGAAGTTGGATATTCAGAACCAGATATTGAGTTAGTAGCATCTTTAAATACTTTCAATATATCAAGCAATTTTGCAATTTTACCCAACTCCTCTTCTTTAGGACAGGAAGTATAATTACGATCATGCAAAGCATATCGAGAAAATACCTATCTAAACTTGATGGCACAATCTATCATGTCGTATGTTGAATTCCAACGTGTATTGAATTCAAGAACTAACTTCCAATGATTCATGTTGTATTGGCTTACAAGTTCACCAAAACGCTTAAGACGTGCATCACTTAAGTTCAAGTAATCAATGGTATCATGGACTTTCACAATAATGTCTTTCACTTGTTGAAGACCATGTTGAACCGCGATGTTAAGAATGTGGGCAGAACATCGGACATGAAACAATTTTCCACCACAAATAAGCCTCTCATTTGATTTAAAATTTTCCTTCAAAACTGGAATTACAAGAATAATTTGCAAATGCATTATCCACATAAAATTGTGAAAACCTAACACGAATACACAAAGATTAAACTTTATTAGTACACAAATCATAAATAAAATAAAAACACATATATACACTAATTTATTAACCAAATTAGAACTTACTTTGTCCTCAATTCCCCACTCGCTTAGGTATAATAAGATGCAATCAGCTATTTTCGCATATTTACGTGGAGGAGGCAAATGAACAAAGTTAATCACCCTTTTTTGATGCTTCCAATCAAGATCCACAAAAAGAGCAGTAATCACCATATATTCAATTTTTTGTGGCTTTGACTTCCACAAATATGTAGTCAAACTTACTCGTTCCACTTTCTTGAACAAATCTTTTAGCCTTTTCTTCTCGAACTCATAGACTTTGAAAGAGTCTGCTTTAATAGTACCTCGAGATACACGGTTTCATTCATGTATTCCCTTTTTCATCATCAAATTAAACCCTTCCTCCTCAACAATACTGAAAGGATGCTCATGCATAGTGATCCAATGGGATATCCCCTCTCGCATCTTTAACATGTCAAGTTTACCATTATGTAAAGCACTAACAAATACAGATTGATTTATACCAGTGCTTGAATCAAATGGCAAAAAATTAATCAAATTTTGTTGTCCCACGTGTTTTGCTTTTATAACACAAGATTTCAAATGTCGGTGCATATGGTAGTGCTCTTAGATTTCAAAAGAGAAAGGGGGGTTTTACAATACTTGCACCTTACTTTTCAATTATTTTTTTTTAATCATTTTAGGATAAAAAAAATTAATCTTATACTTTTGATCTTCTTGGTGTTTTAGAGTTATGAAAAAGGTTATTATCAGTCTCAACTTCTTAAATTGTAATGTTAATTTTGGGGGGGGTTCACAAGGCTCTTCATTAACCTCCATCAACACGTTATCCCCTTTATTTGATCCTCTTTCATCAACATTCACATGCAAAACTTCATTTGAAATACCAACTGTCATGGAAGATACTTGTGATCCACTAGACATCTCTAGAATTGTAAATGCATATTTAAACATAAAAACGAAGCATTAATAAGATTAATTACAAACATAAACATTAATCAGATTCCTTACACATATAAACATGAATTAGATTCCTTACAAAGATAGAAATATAAATGCATGCATATTTAAATAAACTTAAACTCCAAATAGAAACAAATTATATAATCAGATTCCAACTAAAAACGAGTAGTCTTAATGAGATTCCAACTAAAAACAAGTAACCAAATTATTCAAGTCCGAACTTAAAATCAGTCAGATTCAAACTAAAAACAGTAAGAAAATTAAAACAGAATCATGTTACATTCTAACTTGAAATGAAAAACTAAAACAGAAGCAAACTAACTTGAAACAAAAAACTAAAACAGAATATATAATCAGATTCTAACATAAAATTAAAATTAAAAACATTAGCATTAGTTCCTTAAAATGGCCTTGTGAGAAAATGAGAGGGAGGCTGGGAGGAAAACGAGGTATGAGAAAACGTGTGAGAGAGAGGTCTTCGCCAGTGTGTGACTGTGGGAGCGGAAGATTGTCGACGTGTGAGAAATAGGTCGTCGTCGGCGTGTGACTGTGGGAGACGAAGGTCGCCGACGTGTGAGAAATAGATTGTCGTCAGCGTATGACTGTGGGAGAGGAAGGTTGTCGGAGGCGTTTGAGAAAGCTTCCGATTTGGCTCGTCGGTCGTCGCAGGCAAAGGAGAGGGAGGTGCTCCTATGGTTAATGTTATAAACTTCTAAATTTTCTTTTGAGACTTGAGAGTGGAGACTTTGTTCTTTGAATAATGACTTAATGAGGCGCCGAGTTTAAGTTAGAATTTTTTATTATTTCATAATCCAATTTATTTTTAATTTTTTAATTTTGTAAGGTGTAGTTATAAATTGTGAAATATTATATATATTATGTTAGGTCATTTACTTTTAAGTTCTCAATTTTAGTTTATTATCTTATTTTAACATATTATATCAATTAATTGTTATTAATTTTTTATATTGTATATTTTATAAACTATATTATAAAATTAATTATATAAAAAATATATTCAAGTATCTCGCGAGCTTATCGAGTCGAGTATTAGATAGTTCGGCTCGGCTCGGCTCGACTCGTTAGTATGTCGAGTCGAGCCTATTCGAGACGAATATTGACCGAGTTGATCTCGAGTAGATCGCGAGTTGTCTCGTCTCATTTATACTCATGTGAATACTTAAATTGAGACATACAAAGGACCGATCTCCGGTTCAGTCTTATCAAACCCGTCTCAAGGTGCAAAATTGTTCAGGTCCGATCTTCAAAGCTTGTAAGTTGTAGTTGGTTCTTCATTCAAATGTGAATACTAACTTTGAGCTACACAAACTTAACTGAATTTACCTAAATGTTCCTATTCATTACATTTTTAGTTGTAATATAATCAGGTTTTGGTTGGGTCTTGAACGGTCTTGAATTAGGCCTTGGTCGAGCCATGACCGAACCTAAGTCCTTTTTATAACTAGTCTTTCATCTGAAATGTAATACCCCATGATCCAAAGAACTTTGTTCTTAACATTTAAAGATTGGAACTGGAAATATTTAAGAAACTGAAACACTTTATATATTAATAATTTATAAGTAGGGGGTGTTTGATTCGATGAATGGTTTTGAGAGATTTGGATTGAGTGACAAAATTTGGAACCGCAAGAATTTGAGATCTTTGATGGTATTTGGTTTGTGGGATTTGTAATGGAATTGAATTTCATTCTTTATAAACAAATTATAAATAATTAAATTATCTTTTTATTAATTGATTATTACAATTTAAATAATTTTAACATATCTTAAAACATTATTATCTACAAAACCTACGAAATCCCATGAAACACCAACCATCCCTGTAGGATTTCAAAATCATATGTTTGTACAGGATTTTAGTTCTAGGAACTCTTTCAAACCAAACATGAGATTGCAATATAATTCAATTCCAAATCTCCACAAATTCAAAATAATCCTACAAATCAAACGGGATAATGTTTATAAATTGTACCCTTAATGTTTGGTTTGACGGAATGATTTAAAGGGATTTAAATTTCGT